CATTGCACCAGTCCACTTTCTGACGTGAAAAACTTGGGTCACTGACGTGACACGACCGTCAAGACTGGTGCGAAGATTCGACAGAACTGAGACCGGTTAGAAGTGAGAATACCGTTTTACGTGACTCGATAAAACTGATTGAAACTAGGTCAACTGATTCGAACATGACTGGATATTCAATCTGCAGGGTGTTGACCCCTTTTTTTTGAGTTTGCTTTTCCACTACTAAAAGCGGACTTAACCTCTCTCTCCTCATCCCGTTCGCCAAGCAACTCCAACACACCAAGTACTGCTTCCAAGAGACAGATCCTCAGACGTTTTTTCTCAGAACGAAAACCAACCACGTGAACCGCATCCAGGTGTCCAATTCCTAAAAGATGATGGCGCGAGTGGAGTCTACTGCCCTTATTTGGTGTTTGTAATCTCTCTACGAATATAAAGTTAGTTGGACACCAGCGGTGTCCAAGACAAACAGTAGACATTGAATCTTGGATCATGGTAATTGGAATGATCTTGTCTACAACGAATGCAAAGGCTTCTCAAAAAAGCTTTAGACAGTGACAGCTAGGAAACAGCTTTAGTTATATACATGGAGGCCATGGAGGTTCTTTCATTCTTTACATCAGCCAACGACTCCAAACCTTCACACCGACCTCGAGCGACGGGCCGACCTCGAGGCCCTCGACGAGTGGTACAGCGATCCCTGGGCCAGTCCAGGCCGGCCGTGTTTTGTGCGTCCTCGGAGTAGCGGGCCACACGGGATGACCGGTGCACCTGTCTTGCATGAAAGAAGGCATGCTGTTTGGTTGGGAGAATGATTGAACAAAAGGGTATAGTATAGTACATTATCAATATTAATAGTACCTTCTTTGCAGCTCACATGAAGATCCAAGCGGAATCGTTTCGCGGTGTGAACCTCTTTTGGAGCCACGGCTCTTATTTCGCGGTTGAGCGGGCGAGCTACGCGGGGATCCATCTTCTCGAGATCGGAGCGGGGAGTTCCCCTTGCCCCGGTCGTTGAGGAGATTTTGCTTGAAAAAAAGTTCTGTAAGTACACAACAAGTGGTTATTTCACCTGTAAGTAAACATTACACCAGAAATCTAGGTGATTATTGTGGATATTTGTGGTGCATTTCGGCGGGTGTCGGCACTTTTTCCATCCACAGTAGACTCAGCACTCGAAGTTACAACAGAAGCAATGATGTGACATGTCACACCTTTTGCTATGTTTGATGTCAGTCGTGCCATCAGATATATTTCCTGACAAGAAAAATACATACAAATACCAAGAGTAGTTCCTGCAAGCAGGAGGCCCCGGCCCCTGTGTTGTCCAAGCTAAGTAAAGAAAAGGTTTCTCGCCTCAGAATTCATATCTAAATTCAATAGTAGATCAATCAATGGCCCCAACATGTGAATGTGTAATCGGCATGACGCAATTTGTTGCGAGCAAGCAAGACTCTATCCTTGAGTGTCGTGCTATCTTCGAAAGGGTTCGGCAACCACACAGAGAGTTTGCGTGAAGATCAGCAGGTAGATGAGACTCAGGCAGTCTTCTACCTGTCGTCTACATCTTTGCCTGAACACTGATCTTCTGCCCATCCAGTCAGTCCATCTCAATGCCACTTTCTCGAAGCAGAATTCTGGAGGGATGGGGGGGGTGAAATTGTCTCCACTCCTCTCGCAAAGAGCTAGGGGAGAATCCAAAGAGATAGCCCCTTCAAAAAACAGTCTTCGTCTCACTCTCACTAATTAGTAGCAGTAGTAGTGGTAGTGGTAGTAGCAAGTAGTAGTAGTAGTCGTAGTAGTAGTAGTCGTAGCGGTAGTAGTAGTAGTAGTGGTAGTAGTAGTAGTAGTAGTCGTAGTGGTAGTGGTAGTGGTAGTGATAGTGATAGTCTCGCAGAGCAGGTTTTCAGGTCAGAGTTCTATGATCTATGACTCAAGCAAAAGCTAAGCAGAAACTGAGCAAGAATCTGAAACGGAACCAATAGAAAAAATAGAAAGCTTAGCTAAAACCAAATAAAGTAAACAAACATGACTCATGACAGCAACAAAATGGCAGAAGACACTTTTTATGAGTCCCACACCCAAACACGTACAATTCAGGGGTTTGGAATAGTTTTGGGGTTTGTTTTGTTGTTTCCTCCCACTTAACTATTTAGGATTCAATATTAACATCCAAGAGCCAGAGTGGTAGGCCGCATGGGCGATGGAGCTAGGGCCATGGCGGCCATGGGGTTGGACCAAAAGGGGGTTGGGACCATGAGATTGAACTAGTGATTGGTGCTTCTGAACAAGAACAGTCTAGTTCACTGGTGGTTGTTCACATCTACACAACACAGAAGGCAAGAGACTGAACACAGAAAGACCAACACGATACACGGAAAGAATGAACCAAACATGTAGGTGATTCAAACATATAAGTTATACAACAAAAGTCAAGTCTTTGTATGTTGGTTTGATTTATTGATTGTGTTTTTAAACACAAACAACAGTGACAACAAGGAACAACAAACGACCAAAACGCTAAAGGCAGTTAAACAAACAGTCTTCATGTGTTGTTCTTTGTTTTGTTTGTCATTATTGTTTGCATGTTTTTTACTGGTGTGTTGATTGTTTCTTGTTTTTGCTCATACACAATACGTTTGATAAGGTTGGGCAGTTGGGCCTTGTCCGGAAGGTTTGGCAACGACTGGTGAGTGAACATCTACACTGGCACTATACAGATGCACCAAAAGCTGCATATATATACATATTACCCAGACACTCCATGTATGCCGTATATGCCTACATTGGGGTGGTTTGAGGGGTCAATGTAGGCATATATGGCATACATGGAGTGTCTGGGTTATATGGTGCTCCCCCTTCCAAAGTCTACCATTTTTAACGTTTCATTTGTATATACCTTGACCATCCTGTTTAGGTGTCCTGTCTGGAGATCCTGGATAGTAGCGTAGGGTAGTCCGGCCAGGACACCCAAACAGAATGGTCTTGGTTAGGAGTGGTCCTTATCATTCCCCCAACGCAATGCTCCACCTGAAAACTACCGGTAATTGCACGTTCGGGAATGTTTCAGGTGTCTCATTTGCTCTTCAGAAGTTCACCGTCTCAGCACCGATCTCCACAATGGATCGATCTGTGCGGCTTTCGGGACGCTGCTTTCGACCGACTGCTGCGTGCTACGGCGGAGGCATCAAACGGAAGAGTTCCTCGAACTCACGTGGGGACAGGTGGGGTGAGATGAGACCGTGCCACTGTTGCAGTTCGGGAAGATGTTCTTCGGTGTATTTTTAGTTCTGCAGTTTGGGCAAGGGTGCCTTTGAATGCTTTTTAGAAGCTTGACCCAACTCGAACTCGCTGTTGGACCTTACAGTTCTTTTTCCAGCCAACTGTTCCAGGAGTCAGGAGTTGTAATATATTTTCATGTCATGGGGTTCCATGATGGTTGCATGCAGCGGGTTGCTTTTGTTTCTTGTGTGTGACCACGGTTCACACGGAAACAGGACTGAATAGCGAGGTCACAAATAGAACACACGATTGCTATTGATTCCCACTATCTGAGTTGGGGTTGTTCTGAAGTGTCCATTCGCAGCCGTCGATCCTCAGCGTCATCGATCCGCAGCTCCGAAAACGGGCGCGCCGTTGGAACACTTCGGCTTCGTTTCTCCCATCTCTCCATGCTGGACTTGGAGAGTGGTGACAGCGGAGCGAAGCTGAAACCGAAAGGTTCAACAAAGGAGCCGACATCTGGCCCCACACCTGGAGGAAATGTCATTAAGATCGAGACCAGAGAAGGTGGCATTTTCATTCACACTTGTTGCCATGGTTCAAAGATGTCAAAATTAATGGACAGAATTGACATTGGGAGCACGAAAGACGATGCTTTGCAAGAACCTCAGACATTCCCCATCCCCTGCAGGTAGCATGAACTCGGACACCATCACTTACTTCTTCTCTGGCTCAGAGGAGATGCCGCTGATTACAGTGGAAGAGACCAAACTCGATGGGCCTTGTACGCACTCCACCGGCTTGACGGTGACCATCCAAGAGCCTGGTGCCTTGGACCGAACACGTCTTCGAGGAACCGAAGACCGAGCGACGAGGCGACGAGCTACCTGTGATGATCTAAAAATGACCATTAGATACCCATGCCCGCCCTATAGGGAAATTAGGTATATACCTTCTCAGGTACCGGTGATGTGGAACATGTGTTATGCTTTGGGCCCAATTGTTCCCGGCCGTGCGGGCCCCGTGCGGGATGTGCCTCCGGTGCCTCCACTGGTGACGGTGCGGACGGTGATTCCAGGCATGGAGGAGTTGAGTTGTCATCAGCATCACTCCCGGGTGGAGAAGAAGGGGCCTCCAGGCTACGATGAGAGCGAGCAGGCCAGAGATGTCAGCACGGATGAGAGGAGAGCGAGACATGTTGAGTTTGGACCATGATGGAGAAAGGAGGATCAATGAGATTCCTGATTCCTGTGTTTGAAGCTCTTTAAGGTGTTTGTTGCGCCCACACAAAAGCGGGACATGCCAGGTCCGAACGCACTGGCGGGTGGAGGAATCGACCGATCGTGTGGAGGAATCCTACGAATCCCATGTAAATCATCCACCAGGTAGTTTGGCTTTCTGGGTGTCCGACGACTGGACTGTAGAAGGCGCAGAGGGGAAGGAAGCAGAGGGATTACAGTAGCTATAGAAAAATGCGTTCACATGGGGGGGAATACACCAAAGGGACACAGAGGACATTGTCAACTCCCTGTACTAGTCAGGGATCTCCAAGCAGGACCCAGACAGGATTCTCCAGTTCATTTCAGATCGCCTTTTCCTGATTTCTCCGCCGAAGGCTCCACCGCATCTTCCACATGCCACCGAACCAACACCGGCCTCACCGGCACCGACCGGGTCGAGTCCGTCTCGAGACGAAGGCTCCGTCTCGTCGCGCGTCTCTTCCGCAGGTCACGGGCGAACCTCGGGCGGTGAAGGCGAAGCTGCAGGAGATCGCCACAGTCCTGGAGAAGTCCGACGCTTGGACGCGCGATGTGGTGCGCGATGCTGTTCTGGCCGTGCTGGCGGCCGTGCTGGCTCGGCTGGGCTCGGGGGTGGGTGCGGATGAGGGTGGTGAACGGCCAGGTGCGGCGTTCCGGTGTGATGTGCGGCTGTTGGAGAAACGAGAGATCGACGTTTTCAAGTCAAAGTTCGGAGCAAAGGTTTGATTCCCAGACGATCCATGTAATTACATGTCAATATGATATGACTATATGACCTACATACACCACCAATCACCACCAAATGTAGGCCATATTATGCCGCTTGCATGGATCGTTTGGGATTGGCATGTTCTGAGATTCAGATGTTGGGATAGGTCGGTAGGGCTGCTAACCCGCAACCAAAGGCTATGAGGTTATTATCCGAATGGTCGAGGTCCATAGGATTTTGAAGGACACACTCCTTGCGAGGGTGTTCACAATAGTATGGTATCATAATATCATATCATTATATATACATATATGTATATATAATACACCTTCGCAACCCATTACCTTCCTTTTTTGGGTGGAGGAAAAAGTAGCTTGTGTTGAATAATTTTTGCTGAATACTTTGAATATTTTAGCTGTGTTCATTATTGGAACCAATGGCATGATTGATGTTTGAGGGCCCAAGGTATTATAGGACGACATCAGGTAGGGGAAGACCCTTGAGGGATGTTTTGGTGCATTCCGTCAACCATGGACCCACCTGGAATGTATGCCTACATTGACCACTCTAGCCACCCCAATGTAGGTAAATACCTGGAACTTCGTTACGGCAATAATAATTGCCGTCTTCATGAAACGTCGCCTTTTTCCGTTCTGCGGCGTTCTTCCATATTGATCGCATGGGGAATGAACTGCGGCAGTTTCGGTCAGTTGACGGCAATTTTGGTCCACACATCCATGCGCCTTATTCACATAGGCCGTTACACTCACCAAGTATAGGACACTCTGCGAGACCCAGGAAAAGTTTCGTAATAAAACTCTTGACCGCACCTCTCTAACCACATCCACAGACGCGCCCGATCCATGCTCGGTTACTCCCATGCTCGGTTACTCCCTTATTAAGTAATATTTGCTATCTTCTACGTGTGAAAAGACTGTTATATATTTGAAAAAGAACGTTGCCCTGAAGTCATAAGGCAAAAAGGCCTGCTTTGCAGCAAGAGCCCAATGTGTACCTTGAGCCAAAATGGCTACAGTGCCCGCACATGTGCATCTGTCTTGACTTAGCTGCTGAGGTGGTGGACTTCAGATCTACGTCAAATCTATATGCGCTGCGTCACTAGAAACAACGCGGAGTTGAAACACTTGCATACGACCTGCGAGATTTCATATGCCCACCGTTATTCACCGTTATTAGCATTGCTGGAAGAAATCCACCGTTATTGCTAATAACGGTGAATAACGGTGGATTTCTTCCAGCAGTGCTAAGACCTGCGCGATTTCAAACGCTGTTTGTTGGGCCGAGGCCCGCGTAAAAATTGCAAGAATGACCTTGACGATCAAATTTGACGGGAATTGGAGTAGTTTTCAACTAGCAAACAGCGCACCTCCGCTAAGCGTCACTGATAGCGCTATTGCCCCTTCCGCAAGGATACTATGATAAGGCATCTGGGTATTTTTGTCTACAAACCTTGTGAGCGCCTGAATAAGTATCCGCCAAAAGAAGAGTCAGAATCACTACATCATCTGTCCTGGGTATGCGACAATTTGGAGCGCAAAGCTCCGCAAAAATTGACAAAGTCACATTGATGCGTCCCATTCACGGCAACCTTTAGTAAAAGGCGAAAGATTGGTGCGCTATGAAGTGAACGATGTGATGACTACATTGGCTTTCCTTGGCTTTCATGCCACAGAGATTCTACACGCCCCTCCATCATAGCCATTCCGTGATCATTTTGATCCAGGAGTCAGATGAGCATCTTGATGAGTTGACACGCATACGCGCATCTAGCTCCGTCCTCAGCTATTTGTTACCCCATAGGGTGTGCTGCCACTGGCTCAGTGCCATGCCAGCGCAACACGCCAAGGCCCCCAAGCAAGCTCAGGAAGACACTTCCCCAACAAAAATTGATGTGACAAGCAAGTCTCCAGTTGGAGACATATCAGTTGTCACACTGATAAGAACAGATACTACACTTGATCATAGCCAAAAGGCCGAGAAGGTATGATTGTCCTCGCCTCCTGGCCTCTTCATGCGAGACTATGTTAGCCAGCCTCGACCAATCAACAGGCCACAAGTAAGTTTTAGTGCAGGCGAGTATGAAAGCATTGTAGGGTCTTGCTTGAATGGCAACTGAACGTAAAAGGCGTCTTAGTATATCAGCAAACTCGCATAGTCATGAAGTGGAAAGGGCAGCTGATGGAAGTGTCACATGCTGGGTTTTCGTCGGTTTTCGCGAGTAGCTCGACCTCTTGCACGGCGTTGCAGAAGATTTTGCGTTTAAAGTTACGGCGTTCTTACCCGTACTTGCGGCCTTTTTCCCCGTACTTACGGCGTTTTTCCCCATACTTACGGCGTTTTCCCCCTACTTACGGCGTCGTTCCCTTACCCTGTCTAGGGTCACTCAAGGTGGCAGCAAGACTTGTCACTAACATGTCACAAGCGATCCTTTCAGCCATTGCGTGATCAAAATGTGAACAAATCCTGCCGTGATGTCAATCGAGACCTTAGACAAGGGTGCAACATCTTGAGAAGTGCTACCATGAGGCTTGAAAACGATGAGCTCTACTTACAAGTGAAAAAGGAGAAGGCAATTTCAGGGTATGGACGGACCAAAACAATATCCTCTTTGGTAGATCAAACAAAACGGTGATTCTTCTTTTGTGACGGCGTTTTCACTTTCCAGGGATTGAGCTACGGCAGAAAAAATGAGTTACGGCAAAAAATATTGCCTCAACAGCCTACGGCAAAAAATAATGCCTCGGGAGGGTCTAGGTATATGCCATATGTGGAGCGTTTGGGGTACATTGTGCCATCCAAGATCACTGCAAGTAGTCAGTACTAGACTTGCATGTGTTTGGAAGACACTTCGCTATTTTCGGAGGTTTCCACAAACAGTTGCCTTCCGACCTGCCCCATGGTAGACACCCTGAGGAGAGCGTGGACAAGTTTTTGGACCTCTTTCCTGGCGCATTCAAGATTCGCCAGCTCTTGAACAGCGAACCTGACAGGGAATGTAAAGTCGGGCCCAAGAAACTGTCTTGAATGACAATTAAAAACTGGAATGAGGAGGAGCTGCAAGTGGCTCTTGGCTGCCAAGAAACATACATCGACATGTGTAATTATACATATTGTAGACTCATTAATAAAACCTCCCATATTGGAGAGGTGTTACAATCCACATGGAGGGTTAACAAAACCTTTGTCCTTCAATCAATTACTGCAAATTGCATCAATTCCTAGGATGTGTTTTATATAGTGGTGACACCTAACGTTGTGAAGACGGAGGGGCCCCGTGTGGCATCCCACGCGCGTCTCTGCGCCGCGCGCTGAAACCGCGCGCCGCCGTGCTGATCTTTGAACAGCGATCCGTGACCGCCGTGAAGATCTCGGTCCAAGACCGAGGGATCCACGGACATTGCTTCGAGCAAAAACAAAAGACAACGGTAATGACCTGAAGGAGGGCAAGGACGCGCATGGTCCGACAGGATCAAACAGGTCCGTTCTGAGTTCTGAGAGGTCCGTATTCTGGTTGGTTTCAGATCATTGATAATTCATTATTAGCTATGTTCAAGCTTTACTTGGGACTTGGGATATGTTGGGATTCTTGAACTCACTGACACACTGACAAATGCTTTTCTAGTGAGTTGAAATCATGCACAATTCGTTGTGCAGCATGAAAGCACGAATTCATGACGATTTAATACCAGAAACTTCCAACAGATGCAATTCTTTGTGGCCTTAAACATTGCAGTTGGTGACCAAATGGAGGGTGATGATAGACAGCACAGCAGACCAGAATTTTCAGCACGAAATCCTGGGATCCTTCCGGACAGTCTGCTAGTCGACCGGTGGGCTGCAGACAGTCCTTTGGATGGAAGTGAGACAGCTGGGCCTCAAAAGCCACAGATCCCACGACAGTTCTTCTTAGGTCGTTGCCGACACAGCGGACACACCAGTGGTGCCGGTGAGTTGATTGAAGCAGTGGTCGATTTGCACAAACATGTCTCATCAGCAAAGCTATCCCAATATCGAGGTCCTTGAATAAAAAGAAAACCGTGCTCAATTTGTGTTGGTATATTGCAGTATAAGTTTTGTAGAGCCAATCGCATCCACAGAGCCTCTAACCCAACATACCATAATTTGTAAGGTGTCCAAATGGGGATTCACATGCCTACAGTACTAGCTGCTTCCGAGGAATCACCTGGCTGGAAGACCCTGCCCTAGGGTGTCGACTGGATCTCCAGCCAGAACATTCCTTCGGATGATCCATGATAATGTTGGTATTCTATTTTGGATTAATCCTGGTATTCTATTCTATCTTGATTGTCAATGATCTCTTGTTTATCCTCTTTTGTATTCTATCTTGGGGTCGCCAATGGAATCTTCCTCTGTTTGAAGTCCCTGGACCATGAAGTCGCATTGTTCTCCAAACTCACCGGCTTTGAACTGAACGCCAGGTTCGCCAGCAAGGCAGCGAACATTTTTCGGGTTGAGCAGAAGAGATGGAGAAGTGAAGGGTCATGAAGGGTCGAAGCTGTCTTTTTTGTACTATTTTTGACATATACAGTATCAGTATGATCATGGATTATCATGGATCATCCAACAAAAACTGGTTAATCTATCGTTATTTTTGCTTTTGGTTTTCTTTTTTGGATGCAACACACCGAGTCGATGGACGGACAGTTGCTGGACGGTTTTCAGCGACATGCTTTGGCTGCTTTAACATGTCAACAATGAACGACCGTTGATTCATGGCGCGGTATACCTCACCATGAATGACATTGAATGACTTGATGCCTTTTAAATCAACACTACATGTTTGGCCTGCTTTCAACCAGTTTCCGAGTTCACCCTAGGACGGGGTCAGAGGTCAGGACATCAGGAAGTCCGACCACGAGACCGTTCAGAGGAAGCCGAGACCTATATGCTGG